CCCGGGCGGCCCCAAAAAAGCCAGGGGAAGCTGCCCCCCCCCCCCCCCTTCCCCAACACACAGGAACACCAGCAGGGCTCAAGCGTGTCCATGGTGGAGACTTCTACTGGTAAAAACATTGGGTCAGGAGGCGTGCTGGGCCCTGACCCCTGGGAAAAGACCCCCGGCCCTCCAAGCCCAGAGAAGCCCCCAGCTACTGCAGGCACCCAGGCCCAGCGCAGACGGCATTAGCAATGCTTCGCCTAGCGGGAAAGGAGGGAGTGGAGGGGCCCCGTGGAGACGTGCACGGAGCTAGCCACCGACCTCTGCCCGCTGCAACCAGAGGGCAACCCCCGTCTCCATGTATATCTATCGGGATAGATATACACACGCATGCAGAAGGCACGGATCAGTTTTATTTCAGCCAGCAACTAATTGCGTAGGCAACACGGCATTAAAAAAGAAAAAAAAGTAACGTGAAAAGACTGTGTCACATTAAGAGCCGTCAGGCCAGCACCCGGGGAGGGTGGGGGACCCCCCCTCCTTCCTCCCCCAGATCATGGGAGGGTTTTGCATAGCTCCAGTCAGGGTTTTTCTGCAGTGGGGGAAGCCCAGGGCTCAGAGACATCGCACTGCTGCAGCGCTGCCCAAAAAGGGTGCTTTCCCGGGGAAAGAGGTTTTCTCACTTGAGGTAGAAAATAACATCCCATGCTGGGGACAGAACAGTGCAAAGGGGCATCAGGGGGACAAGGGGTGCCTGGCCCCCCCATGGTGCCCCCTCACTCGCCTGGCCACACAGACGACGGACAGAAGACAACAGAGAGGCCAGGCCGTGCAGGGACAGCGAACGTCCCCTGCCATCCGCTTTATTGACCCCCACCCCCTCCTCCGCAGGGCAGCCGGCTGGGGGAGACGCACACCCCAGGCCGGGGAGAGAAAAAACAGTGACAACAGAACGATGCACAGCAGGACGGGTCCCCCTCCCACATCACCATCCCCTGCGACAGAGGGCAAGGCGACCCCCCCAGGAAAACCAGGAGGGGAATGCAACACAACGGGCTAGGAGGCTCCAGCTCCCCAGGGAGCAACAGTGCAGGGCTGGGGGCGGCCTGGGCAGTGGCGGGTGCTGCCACCCACTCTGCTCTCCGACTCTGGGGGTCTCACGGGACAGGGCCAGGAGCGCAGCCAGCCCCTGCCAATGGGGAGAGTGTCCGCAGAGCAGCCCCCAAAGCTGGGGGGACCTCCCTGGCACCCTGTGACAGCTCACTCTGAGAGGCCCTATGAAGTCCCCTGGGGGCTGGCAGGGACCACAAGATGCCATGCAACTCCCCCCCACCCCCATCACCAACAGTCCCCTCCCCACGCCAACCCCCCTGGCCCCAGCCCAAAACCGCCGCGCCAAGCCCCTGCCAGCCAGCCACCCCCCACCCCCCAAGGTCTCCCCAGGGACCGCTGGGGATGGTGCTGAGACCCAGCAGGAAGAGGAACAAGAGGAACGGTTCCCACCCACACCCATGCCTGGCCCCACAGGGACCCACAGGCAACAGCCCTACCGAGGGGCACTGACCTCCTTCGGGGTGGGGTGTCCCCACAGTTGGGGAGCAGTGCTGTCCCCGTCCCATCCCCTCCCAGGCACCACCGGGCTCAGCCCCCAGTCTGGCCGCAGCATCGCATTCTCCCAGCCCACCTCTCAAAACGCGACCGCCGACATGTACATATATATGCCAAACCCCCAAAACACGAGGTATATAAAAATTCAACGCGGGGACACCCCTATACGAACAGTTCAAGGAACCCACTACAGGGGGTTGGGAGACAGGCCAAGAAACGTGCTCCTCGCCCCCCTTCCTACCACCCCCCGGCCCCTCCCCGGCACAGGGCGGGGGGGGGCAGCCCAGACAAGAGGACCCTGCAGGGCACAGCTCAGACACAACCAAGAGGAGAAGGGGGCACGGAGCTGGGGAGCCAGCCGAGGCAGACTGCGGCTCCCCCAACCTCCGTGGACACAGGAGACCAGTGGGGAGGTACCGGACAGGACAAATGAACGAACAGATGGCTGAGGGACGAGGCACAGCGAGGGGGACTCCCATGGCGCCCGCTGGCTGAAACCATCCAATGGACGAGGAGGGAAGGGAGGCTGGCACCCCCCAAGCCCTCAGCACAGCGGGGATAGGACACCGGCCGGAGGGGATGGCCAGGCCAGCATGAAGCCCCACAACTCTGTGCGGGGGGGCTCCCTCCCCACGGGAGTGAAGGGGATGGCCAAAAGGACCTTCTCCCGCATTCCCAGCCAGCCTGGGGATGCTCCCACTGGACGGGTTTCATCGGGAGCAGGGGGGCTCCAGGTGCCCCCTGCAAAGCCCCCAGACAGGTTTCTCCAGCAGCTTTATCCTTGCGGGGGGTGGCACGGGCACCCTTTCCCTTGCCTCCCTGCCACGGTCTCAGTCCTTCTCCTGTGCCAGGCTCTCCTCCGTGATGCCCTGGGCCGCAAGCTCTGCCAGGACATTGTCCAGGTAGTTGATGTCGGGGTAGCCGTGGCCAGTGAGGTTGGAGCCGAACTCTGTCTTGTGGTGTATCTCGTTCCAGATCACCGTGTCCGACTCGCCTGTGGTGCTGGAGGTCCCGATGGCAAAGATCAAGCGCCGGTCCCAGGCTACCAGCAGCAACTTCAGTACCTGTGGAGGGGAGAGATGGGGCAGGCAGCAAGGCAAACGTGGAGGCAGGAGGAAGCACCCACTTCTGCTAAGGGCACGCCTGAGCATCCTGGTACGCCCCAGCAATGTGGGCAACCCACAGCCAAGCCCTCCCAGAGAGCTTGGGATCCCAGCATGGGGTCCTACCCCAACCAAAATAGCGGAACCAGGCTGCCAGAGCTCCCCCAGCGCATGGGAACGTCACTGGGCTCCTGCAGAGCATGCCAGATGGGCTATGGGGAAAACCTCCACCCAGATTTGCCTGCATAAGCCCTATCTGCTTTTCCCCGTGCTCCAAACAGCTGTTCACTCCCTCTCCCCCTTGATATGCCCTTGAGCATGCCTTGGCCAGCTTGAGCTGCCCGGGTGAGCCCCTCACCTTTCTGCCCTTCTCGCTGTCCGGCAGGTAGCAGTGCCGGGGGAAGCCGCGGGCGGTGAAGCTCTTCCCGGGGTTTGGATGCTCTGGTCCCTGCAGCGTGTGGAGTGGGAGAGGAACAAAACCCTTTTGGAGCTCAGAAGGATGCTCTGGGCACAACCCCCCAGCCTCAGTGGACGCAGAGCTGCTCGCTGCTGTGCTGGGCAGCCACACTCCAGCACGGTGGCCCTAAATGCCACCACCCTCCCTGCCACCAAGCAGATGGGGCCAACGCTTTCATGCAGATGTACCCCAGGCTTCCCACAACATCCTTACGGACACACACCTCCCGAGACATCATTGAACCCGGAGCCCTGAGTCAAGGCATGAGCTGCAGCATTACCCGGGGGTGACGCAGCGGGGACAAGGTCCACCAGCCCCCACAGGGGACCACCCATGTACACCCCTGGGCGTAGGGCCGGGCCGCACCTGCACCCCCGGGGGGATGTTGTAGATGATGCGGATGGTTTTGCAGTCAGAGTGGCCAGGCAGCGCGTGAGGGATGATGTGATACTCCATCTTCCCAGGGGGCTGTGTCCCCGTCTTCACACCATAGATGGTTTTGCAGGTGGGACACTGCAGGCTCCCATCCTGAGAGCAGGAAAAGAGGGAAACATAATGAAACCGGTGTCCCCCAGCATCGAGCCAGACTGGGCGCTTTGTCCCTGAGCAGTACTGAATGCCGTATTCATCATGAAAATAGTCATTTCAAAAACACTCAGGAAGCAGGGGGTAGGGCTGGAACAATTTGCTACAGCGACCCAACTTCAACCAAAAACCCGAGGTCTGCATTTCTCTTCCTCATCAGTTTTACAGTCCTCACTACTTTCCCTGCCTCTGTTTTGGGTTTTTAATTTTTTTTTTTCAAAGAGGGAAAGATAATAAATATTAAAAACCCCCAAGCAATGTGAAATGCATTTTCCTGGGAATGTCGAGCACAAGAGCCATTTGCAGGGGGCTCAGGAAAGCCCACCTGCGGCTGGAAAAGCACTGCCCGATGCCAGATGCCAAGTAGCTCTGCTCAAACATGCAGGGATCAAAGTTCGCCACCACTAACCCTGGGAAGGAAAGCAAGGATATAAAACTGAGCATAGTGGGGGAAAACACACCCACGCAACCCTGGTTTCTGATTTAACGGTCCCAAAATGCTTGCTGCTGATAAAAATTAAACTCTCCATTAGGGCGGGGAGGTCAGACCCCTCTGGGGCAGCAGGGCTCGAGCACCGTCCCACTGAGGGCAGGTGGAGCTCAGCACAGGTCGCCGAGCCAGGGGCTCGGGCATCCCCCAGGGCTGCAGCCTTGCACCTTGTTGCCGTTGTTGTACATGGCGACCAGGCAATGGAGGTGGAAGACGTGGCCACATTTCACCAGCTTCCCCACGAGGTCGGGTTTGACGGCCGGCTGGGGTCCCTTGTAGCCAGAGGGTGCAGAGAGGCGCTCCATGCAGATGGTGCAGTCCTGCGCAGAAGGGGAGGAGAGGGGTCAGACGGATGGATGCAGCCGGAGCCTCGCCAAGGACACGGGGCTGATGAGCTGCCCTGCTCTTGCCCAGGGACCAGCGCCCACCCCTGGTGCCGTGCCATCACCCCGGGCCACCGCAGGGGCCAGCCAACACGTGCATGCGGCACACAGCCCCTCTTCGGAGGAGGGCAGGGACAGGGCAGAGCCATGAAGGGTGGCAGGAGACCCCTGCACGGCGCAGGGGCATCGCCCTTGTCCCCAGTGACTCCTCCCAGAGCAAAGCACCCCAGGGACACCCCACTGCAATCCCCCATTGCTCGCACCTCATCCAGCGGATGCCGCACCTTCTGCAGGTATTTTTTCAGTACCTCCTCTGGGGTTTTACCTGTGGGAGAGCAAGAGTCAGAGGGGGCGGAGGGCAGCCCGGGGGAACCCACTGCTGGGGGCAACAGGAGGAGACAGGAGAACAGGGGAACCAGGTAGAGAAGGGGGGACAGGAACAGGGGCCAAGCGGCAAAGTGCCTCTCACCCTTCTTGGCCTGCTTCTTGGTGGTCTTGCGGCAGGTGTGGGAGATGCCAGGGATGGTCTGGATCTCGCTCTTGCTGACGGGCGGGGGGTGCAGCACCAGCTTGGGGGGCCGTGTCAGGCAGACGGGCAGCCCGGCCGCACTCATTAGGATCCCCGTGATCCCTGGGTGAGGGGGTTCGAAATGGCACTGAGCCAGCGTCACCCCAAACCCCAGATGTTCCCCCAAAAACCACCCCACTGGGGCCGACTCCCCCCCGGGGAGGCGAGCACCCGCGGGCACCAGGCACCCTGCTGCAGCCCCATTCTCACCTGCCAGTGCTGGGTTGACGGGGCTGGAGCCAGTGAGGTTCTTCACGGGGACAGTGGGGACCCTGCGAGGAGCCAGCAGAGACCACGTCAGGGCCGGCGGCAGGCACCCACGTCCCCATAGCCCCCGGGGGCCAGACAAAAGTTGCCTGAGCAACTGCACGGGGCCTGGCTGGAAATAGAGAATCCCCCGACGGGGCGACGTGCCCCCCCTGCCCAACCGCCGCCTTTTCTCTCGCTCTTTAGAAACCCCGCCTGTGTCTCCATTCACTGCCCCTTTTTGTCACCGTTCCCCGAGCTGGTCTGTTGTTGTTTTTTTTCCTCTTTTCTCCTATGGCCACGTCGCTGCCGCAGCTCTTTCCCCCACCTCCCCTTGGGGCTCTCTTCCATGGGAAAGTTTCCTGGCGGGTCAGGAGCAGAGGGAAGGGGGAGGATGGAGAGGGAGAGGAAAGGGGCCAGGCTGCGACAGAAGGCTGACGGCAGAGCCAAACAAAGAGGAGAAACAGGCTCATTAAATGCCCACCTCCTCCAAAGAATGTGTCTTCGGAGGGTGGGGGTCTGGAGGGACCCCTTCTCTTGGGGCCTGAATGGCTTTTCTTTGGGCCTTTCGCAGTTCCCCACCCATCCCCTGTCACCAAGAAAAAGAGCAGCCTCAGCCTACTCATTGAGATGCAGGAGCCACCCTGTGCACGCTCCAGTCCCCGGGCACCCACGGGGAAGGTGAGGGGCCCAGGACAGCCCTCTGCCCATGGGAGGGTGGGGACCGCCAAGGTCCGTCTCCCATCAGGCTCGGGGGCGATAGCACCCCTGCAGTGGGGAGCCCCACAGGGCTGCGGCTCCTCTGTGCCCTGGGGAGGGGGAAAAAAAAATCACGCTGACCCCGTTCTCCCCCCAGCTACCCTCTCGCTTGCACGCGGCCGGACTCACCCAGAGGCAATGAGCACTCGGGACTGGGCGATGGCCAGGCGCTGGAGGTGGCTGCGGTTCAGGGTGCCGAGGCCAGGATGGGATGCCTTGCTGCTGCCCGCGCCGGGGGGGCTGGCGGGGGGGCTGGCCGAGCTCAAGGCAGGCGGGCTGGCTGGCCGCCCCCCGGCCCCTGGGGCCGGCACCGGGGCTTTGGGAGCGGTGGGTGGCGCAGGGGGGGCTTTGCGGGGCTGCAGGGTGGCAGTGCCAGGGCCAGCAGCTGACACGGTGGCTTTGACGCTCATGACCAGGAGGCACTGGGGACAGGCGCAGGCAGGGACCGGGGGGGCTGCCGCTGCCCCGGGGCTGGCCGGCCAGGACTGTGACTTGGGCAGGGTGCCCGAGACCAGTGGGTAGACCATGTCAAGGCGGCGGCGAACACGGCGCTTGCGCTGGGTCTGCCGGTTGATCTGGCCCATGGTGGCAAAGTCAATGACATAGCAGAAGCCGATGGCGCTCAGGTCCACCCAGGGGTGCTGCTTCTCATAGGCACGCTGGATGGTGATGCCCACGTCCATGTCGTAGGGTGTCCACGACCCGCTGTCGTTCTCCCACTCCCACACGACTCCCTTGCCCGGTGCTGACGATGGGTCGTAGTAGCTGCGCCGGACAGGGCGGATAGTGCCTGAGGGAGGGTGAGAGATGCTGTCAGGCCCTGGTGCCAGCACCCACTTGCAGGCAGGGAGCGAAACCACCCCAACCTGCCCCACCGGTGCTGTTCGGCACAGGGACAGGACGGCTTTCCAGCTCAGCTATTGTCCCCACCCTGCCAGAGGACTCGTGCGCCTTGGTTTCCCCAGGCCACTGCGGGCAAGCCGCCCTGCTGCCGGCGCACTCGAAGGGCCAGGGAGCCCCTGCGCTGTACACGCACGGCACTGGGGTGCACCCCCCAGTGTGACCGGGGTGAGGGAAGTGCAGATTTCACCCCCATCGGTCTACGGTGGCGGCCACCCTCCCAGCCCCAGTGTGCAGCTACTCAGCCCTGACGGGGAAACACAGAACCACAAGCCTGGCCGCTCCAACCTGCTCCTAGGGACCTCCTGTGGGAGCCTGATGAAACCAGGCACGTAGGCACCGGAGTCCTGCAGGGCCTGCCACAGCCCTGTCACCCTCTCAGCTCCAGACCGGGACAGGGGAATAAAAGATTTAAGGGGCAGCTCTCAGCCCTGCAGCGGTGACATGCGCAGGCACCCATGTGCACAGGGGAGCGGGGCTTGCACCAGCCCCACCGTCTACAGCTGCCAAACCGGCCCGTGACGAAAACCTAACCCATGGCACAGGGAAAATCCCCGCGAAGCTGAGCAAAGGGGTTCGAGCAGGGCCCCACGCCCAGCTCCTGCTCCCCCATCAGCAAGCGTTAAGAGTGGGATGAGAGCGCAAAGCACAAAGGCTTTGTGGCTTGCATCCTTATTTTTGCTAGGCGTTTCCTTTCCCACCGCTCCCAGTCAACTAGGATGCATTCAAAGCACAGACACAAATTTTGGAAACTCCTACAATGAGGAGAAAGCCTTCATCTTTGGGATGTTTCATGGCACAGCAGGGCAGGCTGAACACGGCTGGGCTGAGCCTCAGGGTCCCATCCTGAGCACGGTACTAGCGCCCAGAGTTGTTGGGTTAATAGGCGGGATGGGCGCACAAGCATCGCTGCCTCCGTGCTCTTCTGCAAAACCCCACGGCTCGGCCCTGCTGCCAGCGGTAGGAACAAGAAAACTCAAAGAGAAGAAATAATAAGCCTGCTTCTTCCAGCTTTTCATCACGTGTCTTGCAAAGCCTGCAAGAATTTCAGTCCCTTTTCACCCCCACCTCTCTGCTGGGAGCAATGGCCACAGTCAGTCCCCACGCAGGACCACTTCCCAGGAAAAAGTGGGCTAAAAAGGAAAAGATGTTTCTTAGCGCTAATGACAGGTGCACATCAAGCACCCTGATACAGAGAATGGGGTGCAGCTGCACCCCAGGCAAGCCAGGCCACCCGTCCCCGTCCGGCGAAGGGGCACCCGGGAGAGAAAAGCCGCCGGCGTTGGCAGCACAAAGCGGGGCTGGAGGGGAGCGGGACGGTGATTTATCCTAATCCGGCACGAGGCGGGGAGGGCAGCAGTGGCGGCATGCGGCATCTGGCGGTCCCCGGGCGGAGGTGTGGGAACGCCGCGCGTCCCTCCAGCCCAGCGCGGCCAGCCGGCCTCCCATTCAGCAGGGGAAGAAAAGGGACAATAGCTATTCAGGGCCTGCCAGGGTCGCGACCCCCCCAAATCAGAGCTGTTTAATGACCCAAAATACCAACATCCCCAGCAACCCAGGGAGAGACAGAACAATCGCCCTTTCAGGCCTCCTCCCTGGGCGACAATAGCCCTCAGAGGCTGGCCCCCAGCCCTGCCGCAGAGGTCCCCTGTCCCCACACCCCCGGGCAGGGGAGGGTCCCTGCCAGCCCCAGGGCTGCTGGGAGAAGGAGGACAAAGGAGGGTGCCTAGCACCCTGCTGCACCCAGCACCCCCTGTCCCAGGGACAAGGGATAGTGGCTGGTCCCCTTCCCATGGCCATCACAGGGGTGCTGGGGGGCACAATCCCCTGTGCCAACCTCTCCCCCATGGGTGCCTGTGCCCCACACCCCAGACAACCCAGGGCCATATGTGCCGCACCACCTTGGGAAAAAACCCCCTTTACCTGTCCAAGCCACCATCCTGGGGACCCCCCACCCGCCTGTGTCCTCCCTGAGCATCCCCCCACCTGCCTGTGCCCCCACCCTGGACACCCCCATGGGCTGCTGTGACCCAGAGCAGGATTTGGCCCCCAAGCACTGTACAGCACCGGGCCCTTGGGGTTGATGGCGGCTCAGAGGGAGCTGGGCAGGGCCCTGGAAAAGGTCTGCAGGGGATGGGCTCCGCGCACAAAGGGGCTGCGGGCCGGGAGAGGAAAAGGCCACAGTGTGCGATGGGTGCCAGGGAGGTGCAGCAGGGAGGAGGCTGGGCACCACGACCCCGTAAGGGACCAGGAACGCGCGGGCAGGGCCGGGCAGCATGGGATACGGCAAGCACCTGGGGACCGGGTGGGATGGCATAATGCAAGCTGGCAGCGGGCAACCCCCGGCAGCGTGGGCTTGGGGAGCAGCAGGCAGGGCTGGGCAGCGAGGAGCAGAACTGTGCAATTCCAGGGCAGACAGAGCAGGGCGGCGCAAGGCAAATCCAGATGCAGTATGGGACCGGGCAACAGAATCCAGGATCAGGCAGTACAACGCAGCGCGGCGCCCAGCAGCACAGCGCAGTACAGGCAGCAACGCGATGGCAGAGCGGGCAATGGGACGTAACGCAGGGCAAGGCGCCACGATGCAATATGGGACTGAGAAAGGCAGCGCAATACAACCCAGCTCCAGATCAGGCAGTGCAATGCAGTATGGGACCCGGCAGCACAGCATTGTGCAACACCGTGCAATGCAATTCCAGGTCAGGCAGCGCTGTGCAATACTGGACCTGGCAGCAAAGCGCTGCACGGTGCGACTCTAAGCCAACCAGTGCGGTGCAACAAGGGACCTGGACATGCAGAGCAAATCCAGATCAGTCACGTCAGGCAGGAAAGCACCTGCGCGGGCAGGGCAGCACGGGGCCTGGCGCCACAACCCCGCGCAGCGCGGTGCAGCGAGGGGCCAGGACAGGGCAGCGCCGGAGGGGACCCGGCAGCACAGCGCGGCGCGATGCCGCTGCAGAGCGGGGAGCGCGAACGGTGCGGGGCCGGGCAGCGCTGGGAGGCGCAGCACGGAGCAACGCAGCTCTGGAGCGGGGAGCGCTGCGCAACGCCAGGCCGGGGAGCCCGCTGCAACGTGCAGCCGGGCAGGGCTGCGCGGCACCCGGCGATGCAAAGCGGCGCAGAGCAAGGCCACCGCAGCCCGGGGAGCCCGGCGCAGGGCCCGGCCGGGCCGGGCAGGGCAGGGCAGGCCGGGACAGGGGTCGGCGGCGCGGCGGCCCACCCCCCCCCCCCGGGCGGTGCCCCCGCAGCCCCCCG